ACCAAAATGATTAGGGGGCTGGAGCATATGACCTATGAGGAGAGGCTGGGGGGGTTGGGTCTGTTTAGTCTGCAGAAGTGAAGAGTGAGGGGGGATTTGATAGCAGCCTTCAACTTCCTGCAGGGAGGTTCCAAAGAGGATGGAGACAGGCTGTTCTCAGTGGTGACAGATGGCAGAACAAGGAGCAATGGTCTCAAGTTGTGGTGGGAGAGGTGTAGGTTGGATATTAGGAAAAACTATTTCCCTAGGAGGGTTGTGAAGCACTGGAATGGGTTCCCTAGGGAAGTAGTGGAGTCTCCATCCCTAAAGGTGTTTAAGACTCGGTTTGACAAAGCCCTGGCTGGGATGATTTAGTTGGGATTGGTCCTGCTTTGGGCAGGGGGCTGGACTTGACCTTCTGAGGTATCTTCCAGCTCTAGGATTCTATGATTCTATAAGTGAGGAGAAGCTGGGACTCCTAAGTGTCCCTGGATTTGCCTGTTACCATGGGGTACACTCGTGTACTGGGGTTTCACTTCTGAAGAGGGTGGGCGTGATAACTTGTCAATGTGCTGCTTTTGTTACTTGTGCTCTCACATGGGGCTCAACGTCTCCCCTCTGCCAGTTCCCTCCCAATGGAGCTCTCCTGTGGGATCCAGGTTTCCCGGAACTGGGTTCTGCCCGCCCTAGAATCAGAGGAGCACAGATACTCACACCCGCTAACTGAGCACATGTGAGAGGACTGATTAATCGGCATTCAACAGCTTACCTCTGATATGTCCCTGTACCCAGTAGGTGGGTTTTACAGCAATGTCAGCATGTGGCCGTCTTGTGCCTTTGGACTCAGGGGGCTGCATTTAAACAGCATTTTAAGCTGCCACCCTCATATACTCTCAGGTACAGCACGTCCTGATCTCCACTTTTACGCCATGACCATTCTGGTAGTAACCCGCTTGCTGAGCAAACCCCACCGGATTCTTGAGAGACGCGGGGATCTTCAGCGTTGGTCCAAGGAGTGGTGTTGCAGAGTGAATGAGGAAGCCAAAAACATCACCCCAAAGAGGGGGGCAGAGAAAGGAAGGCAGAGAGAGAAACAGTCTGCTTAACCATGAAATTTTATATTTCCATGCAAGAACCATATAAGGGGATGCTAAGAAACAAAACAGTTACACTGTTATATCTGAATCCAAATGTCAGGGCAAGTGATCCATCCCTGATCACGAGGCAGGGTTGGGAGGTTTTGCCTACAGAGAGATCTCACCGCTCCGTGAAGCTTGACTCGATCGGGGTTCCCAGGTGGTGATGGCAGCTGAGGGTCCAGAGCGTTGGAGACAAACAGAGGAAAGCTCCCAGCAGGGTCCGTCAGGAGCAAATGCAGTGTCAATGGGACTGATGCAGAATGGACATCCAGGCATCAGAAGGCCACTGGAGGCTTTGGGGGCAGTTATGTAACAGTGTAATGGGGAACACGGGATTGTTTCTGGTAAACTGAGGGCTCATGGAGTATCCCAAAGTTGTTTTGTTTAGGCTAGACAATAGGAACGGCTCATTCCTGGTGATGGGGTGGAGATCATTTGAGGGAGCTCCGAATGCAATTAGTCAGCTTCAGTATTTTGGATACCAATAGAGGATTTATTACTAACATTGGTCTGGTAATTACTGATCTGGGTATGGACAGGTGTGGGTTCATTAGCATCAGGAGCAGAGATTTCTCATCAGGCACTGCGTTTCTGCTTCCCAGAAATTCCCTGCAGTGCTCGTCTTAGAATTGCTATTCTCTATTCTGTATGCTGATGGAAATGCCTCCCTCTCCTTCCTCCAATGCAAGTGAGGCTGGGGTGTTTCCTTAACCCTGTAACCCTTGTCCGGAGGGTTTTAGTGCATCTGCCCTTCCCTTTTCTCTGCTTTTTGTAAATCTTCCTTTTCATCAGCTTTGGTTCAAGCAGAGGCTGCGGGAGCGGCAGAGATCTTTCCTGAGCTTTATGCTCTGATTCCCCAAGAACACAAAGCTGGTAGGTAACACAAGAGACCGCAGTTCTCCCCCGTATCACCTAGGGGAAGGTTGCAGTCAGCAGGCGCTGTATCATCAAGTCAAAGATCGGAGCTGGTTTCCCCTTCATCATGTCAGAAATTTCCTCTCTGCATTTATTTCCCTGCGAGTTTTGAGTGGGATGTGGAGCTGGAATCCAATGTCTCAATCTCTCCAGTAGTTACTGTGCTGTGTTCTCCTTTTTTGCCTTCTGTCCTTTCCTCCTGATACCGACAGTGACTTGTTTCTGTATTCTGTCTCTTTCTCCCCGCAGGTGACAGGACAGGGGAGGAACCTCTGGAGACGTTCTTGAGTAGAACCAAAGGGAATGTTTCCCATGGCTTGAAACGGGGAAATGGCTGGGGAGATGGACACAGATCAGAGGTTCAGCTGGGAACCTATCCCGGAAAGAAAACGGGTGAATCCATTCCATGTGGCGGAGCATCCCAAGGAAATGATCCCAAGGAAATGACCGTCCAGCAGACAAGTCACAATGACAAAAAATCCTACAAATGCCTTGACTGTGGGAAAAGCTTTCGTCATAGCTCAAGGTTTATTATACATCAAAGAATCCACACAGGAGAAAGGCCCTATAAATGCCCCGAGTGTGGGAAAAGTTTCAATCACAGCTCAAACTTTTTTCAGCACCGGAGAACACACACAGAAGAAAGACCCTATAAATGCCGTGAGTGTGGGAAAGGCTTCAGCTTGAAATCGACCCTAGTTAAGCATCAGCTGATCCACAGAGGAGAGAAACCCAATAAATGCCTGGAGTGTGGGAAAAGTTTCATCCAGAAGTCACATCTTATTATACATCAGAGAGTGCACACCGGAGAGAGACCCTTTAAATGCCATGTGTGTGGGAAAAGTTATATTGATAACTCCAAGCTTACAAGACATCAGCAAACCCATGCAGGTGAGCGACCTTTTAAGTGCCTTGAGTGTGGGAAAGCTTACACTTGGAAATCAAACCTTACTATACATCAGAAAATCCACACTGGGGACAACCTCCATACATGCTTGGACTGTGGGAAAACTTTCAGTCGGAGCTCACACCTTCATCATCACATGAGAATGTTCCCAGGAGAAATACCCTTTAAATGCCTTGAGTGTGGGAACAATTTCAATTGTAAATCAGCCCTTAAATCACATCAGAAAACCCACACTGGAGAGAAACCCCATAAATGCTCGGAGTGTGGGAAAACTTTCAGTTGCAACTCACGCCTTCTTGCTCACAGGAGAATGCACTCAGGAGAAAGACCCTTTAAATGCCTCGAGTGTGGGAAAGGATTCAGTTGTAAATCAGCCCTTAAATCGCATCAGAAAACCCACACTGGAGAGAAACCCCATGAATGCTTGGATTGTGGGAAAACTTTCCGTCGGAGCTCACACCTGATTCATCACAGGAGAAGACACTCAGGAGAAAGACCGTATCAATGCTTTGACTGTGGGAAAGGTTTCAGTGTGAAATCAGCCCTTCATACACATCAAAAAGCCCACACTGGAGAAAAACCCTATAAATGCCCTGAGTGTGGGAAAGGTTTCATTTGGAAATCAGCCCTTAAATCGCATCAGAAAACCCACACTGGGGAGAAACCCCACACCTGCTTGGACTGTGGGAAATCTTTCACTTGGGGCTCATACCTCATTCACCATAGGAGAGTGCACTCAGGAGAAAGACCCTATAAATGCCTTGAGTGTGGGAAAGATTTCAGTTGGCAATCAACCCTTTATGCACACCAGAAAGCCCACTCTGGAGAGAAACCCCATAAATGCTTGGACTGTGGGAAAAAGTTCAGCCAGCGCTCGTATCTTAATAGACATGAGAAAATCCACCTGAGAGAGAGGTCTTATGAATGCCTTGACTCTAGACACCTGTCCTCACCCCTGTCTTCCACCAGTCCCCAGACTGTGCTCCCCCCTCACCTCGGGCTGTTCTCTACAGGGGAAGTGTCCCCGGGGGCTGGTAACTCCCCTCCCTGGATCCCCCAGGGTTCTGGGCTTCGGGGGCTGGTAACGCCTCCCCTCCCTGGATCCCCCAGGGTTCTGGGCTCTGGGGATCAAACATGAAGGGATCAGGCCAGTGGGTTCTGGAGAGAAAAGTGGGGATTGAATGGTGGGGGCTAAGGGAGCTGGGCAGCAGGGGGAGCTGGGTGCTGGGGCCAGACGTGCCCTGTGGGGAGGAGATGAGGGGGCACGTTCTCCCTAAATGCCATGGGCAGGAGGAGCAAGGTGCAGAGCTTCTGGGTGGACCAGAACACTAGAAGGGGGGCCAGTTGCTCCTTTGGCCCTAGAACAGTCGGACTAAGAAAGAAGCTCTAAGGGCTGCAGCCGCAGGCCCCAGGATAAGCGGGGATCTATTCGACCGGGGTCCTGGGCTGCAACCCATAAAGCTGCTGTGTTCTGGATCGGCCCTTCCTTTCAGCAGGGCGAGAGGCAACATCGCTAAAAATGTTTCCCCAACTTTTTGGGCTTAGTGCGGATCATTTCTAGATGGGAAGATTCGTCCTTCTTTTTCTTTTATTAAAAGTGAAGTGTTGCAATGAATACAACCAAATGCTGAGTTGAAAAGTTGATGTGAAGTGTTGCAACGAATACAACCAAATGCTGAGTTGAAAAGTGAAGCCAGTTTAGCCACTTGAGAGGAAAATGGGAACGTTTCTTTCCTGATGTGGGGTCTCAGAGTGTTCTCCGAGATTTCACTGTAGGAATCTGAAAGCCTTTTGTAGTTCTGGATTCTGGGATTTCCCTCTCTGTGAAGGCTGGTTGGTCACAAACTTTGTAGTTGAGTTGCACAGGATGGAGCACAGGTTTGAGGACTTCACAAGAAAAATGATCATTTGTCCCAATACTCCTTTTCTACGTTTTATTTTGCTCTTGGTCGTGAGATTTGAGCAATGAGTGATCGACATCACCCAGCACAAACTCAGCGGGTGCAAGCAAGATCCACTCTGGGAGAGGCAGAGACCGAAACAAAGAGTGAAGTCACTGCCTGATACCAGCAGCTGGGGGAACAGCACTGAGAAATGGTTGGGTTTGCTCCTCGGAGCTAGACGGCTGAGGCTGAGAACTCTGGACTCGTTGCACCAGTGCCACTGAGAAACTAGCAATGAATGATGAGTGTCGAGTGAAGCTGCCCCTTAACACTCATGTGCCATGAACAGCACCCCACACAGAACGATGGGGGAGAGGCTTTGGGATCTTATTGGCGTGAGGGTGAAGAATTGGTGCAGTCAGAGCTGCAAGTGGCCCGTAGGAACTGGGACACGTACCGTCGCGTTTCTTGTGCCCTTTGTGCAAAGGGGTGTGGTTGAGACGCCCTCCAATGCAGAGCCAAGTTAGGGGACTCCAGCAGGTGAGTCACAAGGTCAAGGAGGCAACCGGTTCAGTGCTGCTGCCAAAACATTTCATTTCATAAAGACTCGGCACAATCCTCGGTGAGGCCCCATGTCCACAGCCAAGGATCCTGGGGGTACTCCTTATAGCACAGAGTCAGAAACAGGAGCCCAGAGATGAGGAAGAGGTGGAAGGGGATGAGGAGGAGGGACTCACCGCGGGGCCACCCTGTGCTGTAAGGAAATGGGCTTCTTCTATAGCCGTATTGGAAGGCCTATAGCCTAGGGCTTCTGTCTCCAGCCAGACTGAAAGATCAGCAGCCACGAGTTGCAAAGCAGAGAGTCACATCGTTGTATTCCATCTAAATCGCATTAAAATAGCAGAATGCCCGGCTGTGTAGAGGGACACCCCGTTCCAGTGGCACCCACTAACTCAGAGAAACAGATCTCAAGATGGGCAAAGCAAACTTAGTTTACTGGTAGCATTTTGTCTGACACAAAACTCCCTATTAAGAGTTGGGGGTTGTGGAATCCTCGTTCTGCTCACTTTCCTATTGTTTGTACAATCTCTGGTTTTATTTCTCTGCTGTGTAATTAATTACACTGTGTAAATCATTTAAGGTGGTGGGATATGATTGGTTAGGTAATTTAGTTATGTAATGATTGGTTAGTAAAATTTTAGTACAATAATTGGGTATGGTAGAGGTAAGCAAGACTCACATTTCACAATATAACCTGGGGTCAAAGAAGACGACCAGAAGAAAGGAAACAAGGAAGAAAAAGAAACGACCCAGAAAAGCAGCTGACCTACAGGGCACAGCCTAAGAGCAGAGCTGCCAGGAATCCTCTGCATGACTGTGACATGGAGCAACCCGAATTCGGAGGAGACTGAGCTTGCCTGGCCAACAGTGGACGTTTGCCTGCCTTGCTCAGGCTGGGGGAGGATGGCACCTCGTGCTCAGCATGTGTATTCTGCTTGCTCAGTAATTACTAATAAGTAGAGAGCACGGATATTCGTGTGTAAGGCTCTGTCCTGGTGAAAGACCCTACAACCCCACAGAAGTTATGCCCTGAGCCCTAGGAATTGGGGCCAGGTGTGTGTGTCAGGACAAGAGAGAATAACCATGAACATCGCTTACCACCAAGCATTCACCTGATGTGTGTCACTGTGATTGAAAGGCCTCAATAAAGACAAAAGTGATGCAGGTTTCCAAGAGTTTGTGTGTGACACAACCCACTGCAGTCACTCTGGCCCCTGTTGGAGCCTGTAAAATCCTGATGGGATGTTTTTCACGTTCCCAATATGTCTAAAGCTGCATTGCCTGTTCCCCCCGTGCCTAGCGACTGCAGATAACACTACGCACCATGAGATGCATACCCATGTTGCTTTGCTGTTTCTATCATGTTGTGTCTACACTACAGAGAAAAGTCGGAAAACGATACGCAAACTGCGAACCGCCCTTTTTCCATCTTTCTTCTGAAAGAGGCTTTTCCGACATTTGGCCCCTCTTTTGGAACATTCCTTCTTTCTCGTAAAAGGAGGTTCACAGGGATACCGAAAAAAACGCGTCTGCTTTTCTGATTTTTTTTCGGAAAAGCAGACGTGTTCCTTGGACATGGTAGAGCTTTTCTGTGATTCCTTTGGTATCCTGGAAAAGCTCTGTAGTCTAGAAGTACTCTTCAAGGTGGAGCTAAGGAAGAGGCCATGGTATCTCGACAGAGTTTAGCAGTGTAAACATGCTTTTGTGACTTTGCAGTGTAGACATAGTCCTAGTTAACCATGCCACATTTAGAGGAAACCAAGGTACACACAATTCATACAAATTTATAACAGAAAATCCCTGCTCCATCCCATTTTTTCTCCCTTTGATGCCAAACGTAGTGGGGGTCATGTTAATCAGTGAGCTAGGGTAGAACAGACACCCCTTTCCAGTACAAGGCACCCACAGTACGAGCAAAGCCCCCTCCTCTTAGTGTGGACCCGACCCCTATGGATACAACAGTGACTGAATCATGCCCCTGTAGGCTTGGCCAGATGACATGCAGTGAGGGCTGAATTAAGGCAGAGGAAACTTAAGGATATGTCCAGGGCAGGAACACCATTTAGGGGATATTGGGGGGGAGGGGGCAGTAGCCTTCACTCCCGAGTTTGAACCCCTGGATTTCATACTTGGGGTCTGCTTAAAGCCCACACCCTGACTCCTCCAAAGGCACTTCTCAAATGCAACAGTTCATGCTGCTTGCAGCTTTGCCCTTGGGGCAGGGAGTTTGTTAGAAAAAGAGGGAGGAGGAAGGGGATTAAGAATATCAAAAGGTATTTGAAGAATTTTTAAATCAGTGTTTCTTAAACTTTTTAAGACTGAGGAACACCAAACAATTTTTTTTTATGATGAACATCAAGGATTTTTTGTTGAGCAAAAAGAAAAAAAAAAGGAGGGGAAACTGGGGAAAAGTTATTGACCAAAAAGATGAGGGGAAAGTTATTGAGGGGGGAAAAAAAGGTCGCCTGCCCCTTTAAGGGTGGCCATTTTGAACTGTTGTTCTCTGCCGCACACCTCCGACTGCCTTGTTGCAGCTGTGGAACACAGTTTACGAAACACTGTGTTAGATTGTCATGAAAACATTGTTGGGTACGCCACTTAAAAATAAGGGGGAAAGTGTTGTGCTACAAGGATCTGCATTTGGATCATGGCTGTTAACGTTCTCATATGTGTTCTTGAAAAAGGGATAAACTGACTACTCCAAAGCTGACTGCAAAGGGTTCCCAAGGGACCCCACAAAGCTGGGTGCTTGGGCAACACAAAGGCAGATGGAATTCAGGGTCACTACGTGCAAAGCAATGCACACGAGAAAATAGGATCCTAACTATAGATCCCAAAATGATGGGGTCTAAATAGCTGTTTCCACTCCAGAAAGAGATCTTGGAGTCATTGTGGATAGCTCATTGAAAACATCTCCACATGCAGTGGCAGTCTGAAAACTAAAAAGCGAACCGAATATTGGGAATCATTAGGAAAAGGAATTGAGAATAGGACAAAATCCCATATTGTCTCTATCTAAAGCCACGGTACACCTTCATCTTGATTACTGCAGGCAGATCTGGTCACCCCAGCTATAAGATCTATTGGATTTGGAAAAGGTACAGAAAGGGCAACAGAAATGATTAGGGGTATGGAACAGCTTCCCTAGGAGGAGTCATTAATAAGACTGGGACTTTTCAGCTCAGAAAAGAAATGACTAAAGGATGGGGGAATATGTTAGAAGTCTAGACAATCATGAATGGCATGGAAAAATAGAATACGGGGCTACCTGTACCTCCCCCCCCGAGCTGCACAAGGTAGGCACTGCATCCCATCCCCCTCCTGCCCAGACCCCCCGCCCTACCCCACTCCTACACGCCATGTCCTGCCCAGACCCCACCCTGCTCATGCATCCTCCTTCAACTCTGCACCCCCAGCCTGCTCCTGCGCCCTACCTTCTGCCCAGACCCCCCCTCAACCTCACCCCAGCCATCTCCTCCTGTGCACTGAACTCCACATGCCCTACCCCACTCCTGCACCCCATGTCCTGCCCAGACCCCACCCTGCTCATGCATCCTCCTTCAACTCTGCACCCCCAGCCTGCTCCTGCGCCCTACCTTCTGCCCAGACCCCCCCTCAACCTCACCCCAGCCATCTCCTCCTGTGCACTGAACTCCACATTTTTGGCCCCCACCCCAGAGCCTAGGCAGGCTCCCCCCAAAATCTACTAGCCCCGGCCCTTCGTAGGGTTGCCAGGTGTTCAGTTTTGAACCAGAGAGTCCAGTATTTGTGCTTTCTGTTTGGGAAACAAATTGAGAAACTAGAACTGTTTGGTATGTTTGCAATAAGATGTGATGTCGATTGTGATGTCATGTCAAGTCTATCCCGTATTTTTGGTGAAACCATCTGGCAATCCTAGCTTGAGGATAGTGAGGGGGATAGAGAGTATTTTTTTTTCTGCTTCTCAATTGGGGGCCATCTGTGGGCAATCGCACGGAAACCCAGGGAACCCGACATACAGAGGGGTGTCTAATGGCAGCAGAATCTGCCCCACAGAGTGAAATCCTAGCCCCACTGAAGACCAAGGCTGTGCTGATGTTGATTTCAGCGGACTCAGCATGCCCCTGTGGCGCTGAAGGCGGCATTCCACTGAAGCGTGGAACTAGTCAGCTGGCCAGAGGGTTGGTCCCTGGATTTG